AACAATGGAGGGGCTAACAATGTTCAAGAGGAAGTGTACTCATTACCTCACTCATGTAACTGTAACCCTCTGTATAGTATCTTTACAATAAAAAAAATATTAACTTGAATAAGATAATATATGTGTATTTACATATATATTTATTATATATGTCAGTCCCTAACCTAGGATGGTTGGACATAATATTTTTGATTTTATGGTAGTGTGAAAGTGAGACCATCAGCAGAAACTGTACATTAAGTTTTGAATTTTGGCATCTTCCTGGGCTAATGATGGGTAATGAGATTCTCTTGCAGGCTCACTCCTGCACTCACATGCACACACGCATGTGCACACACACACACACTCTAAAAGGACTATCTTGCAATGTGGGGTAACAGCAGCAAGCTGAAGCTCCCATCAGCTACATGACCACTTAGATAAATAGCAATACTTCACAGCATATTGTGTTGCTAAGCTATAATGCATCTTTAGAATGATATTTGCTTTCTTCTTTTTCTTTTTTTTGGGGGAGGGGTGCTGGAGATTGAACCCAGGCTTGTGCACACGAACAACACAGTTACCAGTCAGTTACACACAGATTATGTTATTTCAAATTGATGATGGATTTATCATATATAAACCCACTCGTTAAGTCATATAACAGCTGCATAGAATTTCAAATTACCTTAATGATTTTGTCCATATCTCCATAGCACAGGGAGTTAAGAGAGACTTTAAAAGGCTTCCAAACAGGATTCAAGTTATTCTTAATAACCTATAAAGATGTGGATTAAAAGATCTATTAGAACAGTATCTAATTCATTAACATTTTGCTCTTGCCTTTCCAAAGCTCTTACTACATTCTATTATTCACCCCTAAACTTTTGACCCACTTCTTTCAATAAAAAAAACTAGCTAGGACAACATTATATAACTCTCTCATGAAAATTTTAATAAATTGTCCAATTGTAGCACATTCCTCAGAAAAGATGAAAGCCACATAGGAAACATGTTCACCTCATCTTTAGAAAGTGTAGCCAGCTATGGCAGGGTGACAGATGCCTGTAATCCCAGCACTCAAGAGGTTGAGGCAGAGGATAGCAAGTTTGAGGTCAGCCTAGACCACAAAGGGAGACCATTTCGTAGAAAATCACAGAAAATAAGAAAGGAAGAGGAGGAAAAAAGAGAGGAAGAGACGAAGAGAGAAGAAAGGAGTGGAGAGAGAAGAGGAAGGGGAAGAGCAGGGAGGGAAGAAAAGGAGTGAGAAGAAGAGAAAAGAAAACTGAAGCTTGCTGATTTTGTTGGATACTAGGCATTTCATTGAAGGTGAGCATGGAATAAGAAATGGTAAAAATTAACCTTGTTAGATTTAAGTTTGAGAAAATTTATAATTTAAAAAATTTTAGTGACATATAAATACTTGTACACAAATATATGTTTCCCAGCTGTGTCCACTGAAAAAGCTGAAAACAATGATATAGCTTGGTATCAATGAGCTCTTCTAGCATTAATTTGTGGAAGTCTAAATCCAATCCCAATGCCTCTTAGAGAAGTACAATGTCTTCTGAGAAATGGGACATTCCAACTTTGGGACAGGATAAAATAAAAACATGCTCTATAATAAATTAAGAGATTGCTTTGAAACAAATAGGGTCACAATGAACTCAGAAACTATTTGAAGAAGCTTCTCCTACATAGATATGGATTCAAATGAGCAGCAAAAATAATGATATTAAGAATTATAACAATCCAAGTGTTTACAAAGATACAAAAAGAAAACCATTTTCAACCCATTTTAACCAATTCATCAACTGTTTTAACCAAAGAGCATCAACAGAACCATTAGTAAGCAATTCACGTAATTACACATCATGTATTTACTTATTAATTACAAGAATAAAAAAAATGAAGCCAGGCACCAGTGGCTCAGACCTGTAACACTAGCTACTCAGGAGGCTGAGATCTGAGGATTACGGTCCATAGCCAGCCCAGGCAGGAAAGTCCATAAGACTCTTATCTCCAATTAACCACCAGAAAACCAGAAATGGTGCTGTGGCTCAACTGGTAGAGTGCTCGCCTTGAGCTGAAGAGCACAGGGACAGTGCCCAGGCCTAGAGTTCAAGCCCCAAAACTGACCAAAAAAAACAAAAAACAATGGGGACTTTATTGTGGCAAGATCTTATGGTTATCAGCTTAAAGCAATCAAGTCTAGCATCGTCCAAACTGAGTGCTCAGATGATGGACCACACAGAGAGTTTTTAACAGATATGTTTGATCTCGATCTAGATGTGAAAAAAGAGAAGATTCTAGTATATTCGACATTCTGGTCTTAATTATTCAAGAGTTTCAATGACATGAAAGTATAATAAGGAAAATAAGAAAGGAAAATAAGAGCCCTGTATTAGTAGCATAAGATCCAAAACAAATCATGAACCTTCAATGGATCCTAGACAAAGCAAAACAAATCAGAATGTACATAAGAGGTGTGGGACAACTGAGGACACCTGAATTCCTACATAGAATGACAATGTTAAACCAGTGGTAATTTTCTCGGGTATGGTAGTGTAGAATGCCTTTTCTCCTTCAGTACTAGGGTTGGAAGGAAGAGCCTTGCATTTGCTAAGCAGGTGCTCTGCCACTTCAGCCACACCCACCCACTCAGAATGCCCTTGATTTTGAAAACTGCTGCTATAGTATTTATAAATGGTCTTAATGTCCTTGCTTGTTTTACAAAAGGAAAGTGTACGTGTGCATTAAGTGTGTATGTTCCTATGTGTTCAGAAACAGAGAGAAAGGGTATACTAGAGCTAGAGGTAGACAAGTGTGTGCAGGGATAAGCAACGGTGAATTCAGTAAGGGGAAAACAAATGTTCTTTAGGTTACCTAAAGTTTTTTAAACAAAAATAATTAAGCATACTAGCATCTCCTCATTAAAAGCAAAAAAAGTAAGCATGCTTAGTATTTATATCCAAACTGAAATTAATGTTCCAATAAATATTTAATCTTTGAAAAATTCAGATAACTAGAATTCCAAAGAAAACTTCCACTCTACTTTTCAGATTCAGATTTTCACCTCTGTTCGATGAACCATTAGCCAGTTTCCATCTGATGTCTGCTTGTGAAATTCCAGGTATGGATCTGACTTTCCAAAAAGATCCTACATTTGAAATAAACAGACACATTCATTCTCCTCTGAAACATGTGTGAACACATTATATGCTTGTAACCTTTTGGTCTAACTCATGTATGAGTTTAAAAAGTTCTAATGTAAATCCCATCATTGTTCTCAAAACACATGCATACATACTTGCACACAAATGTACAAATAATTCCAGAATGACATATAAATCAATAGTAGAGGACAAACTCAAGTGGTATAATTATGGATAATTTAATTTTTTTCACTTTCTGTCTTTATTTTGAAAGATATATACTACTAATTATATGTAACTTGCTATTTTTTAAAATGAGAGCACTTGCTAATACTTTGTGCAAGTATGTTTCTGAAGTAAAGATTTATTCCAGCGTGAACAACACCCAATATTTAAAATCCAAGATAATACTCCTTCCCTGAGCATGAAATTTAATGCAAGCAAATATAACATGTAGTATGCAGCAAAAAGTATAAACAAAATGATTATGCAGAACTTTTTACCTTATTGCTCAGAAGGATCTTACATAAATGAAATAAGCCTCCCAGAGTCCCTCATATTATAATACTAAGAACAGAATCCTACTTAGATTAGTTAATATTGCAAAAACACATTAACATACCAGGTGACTTATCTTAAAAATATTTCCATGGGAAAGGCACAATTTGCTTACTACCATTTTGAAGACTAGAAAACAAACTTTTCTTCAAAGATCATTAAACTGTTAAGTTCCTAACTCTGACCTCCAAGGGAAACAACAAGGTGAAAAAAATATCTTTTATGAAACATTTACTTAAAGGGCCCCGGCTAAAGAATTACTAGTGTATACCACCATACCAAATCATTTAGTTCTTTAAAAAAAAGTCATTTCTAGTCAGGCTCTGGTGACTCACACCCATAATCATACCTACTCAGGAGTCATAGTTCAAAATCAGCCTGGGCAGGAAAGTCTGTGAGACTCTTACCTCCAACTAATGACCAAAAATCAGGAAGTGGAGCCATGACTCAAGCAGTAGAACACTAGCTATGAGAAAATCTCAGAGACAGTACCCAGGCCCAGAGTTCAAGCCCCAGGAGCAGCACAAAAAAGTAAGTAAATAAGTCTTGTCTATTAAACGTGATGGCATATTCTGCAATCACTAAACTCAAGAGCTCTAGAAACCATGAGGAATAGTATACAACAAATTGTGAGCATCTCTGCCCACACTGTAGCTTCTACATACCAATTCCCCTAAAGATGATAAGACTGCTCTTAATGTGCCTGCCAGTTTGGAGCAGAGCTTCATTTTAAAAACCTCTGACCATAACTGTCTTGCCACAGAGCAAGGACTCTAAAGATCACTAAGGTCATGCCAAAAGGTCTCAGGAATAAACTAAAAGAAGTACCCTCAAAGGAAGGTTCGGATACTTTGAACAAGTTAGCCATTATCGCTCATAATGTTTAAATCACGAGTTGATACTGATTCTGAAAAAAAATAAAACAAAGTAAACTAAAAATCTCATGGTTATACTTAGAGAATGCTAAGGAACCAGCTTCATCAAAAAATGGTACATATGGGGGGAAAAAAACCAAATGCTTTAATTTGCCTTCCTCTGTAGATTGTTCTCAAAATAGCTAATGTAGGAAAATGTCCCTCCAAGAAGCATTCTTGTTAGGAAATAAGCAATTGGGTGCTGACTTTTGAAAACAAAAAGAATAACTTATCAACAGTAAACCACTAATCCAACTACTGTCTTCTCATAACTTTTATAAAAACATCAATGCTTTTATTCACTTATTGTATTAATCTAAACAAATTCTTTGATAACATCTATGTGAAAGAAGTGAAGGGAAATGTATTCTACACACACACACACACACACACACACACACACACAGGTGGGAGAAGTATGTATTCTGCACACACACACACACACACACACACACACACACACACACACACACACACACACACACACACACACACACACACACCCAGGTGGGAGAAGTAACTGAAAAGCTATATAATACTCTGAAAAGCTATATAATACTCAGGTAATGCAATTCATGCTAACTGAATTGCAAATTGAATTTTTTTTTCAATGTGAGGCAAATCTGGTATTTCTTGTTGAATTTGCATAATCTACCCACCTTATTATCCAGTTTTCTGGCTTCCATTTCAAATAAGACCACTCTATTATCCTTTATTTCTTCTGCTGAAATCTGAGTAGAGAAGGTAAATGAAAGAAAACCTGATAAGTGATGCTGATAACCTTATGAACCAAGTTCTTTTTATCTAATAGTATAGAAAGTCTATTTTAATATAAATGACTTCTAAAATAATACTATTAACAAACATTTACCTATTCTTATATGTGTGTGAAATTAGTATTTTTGCCAAATATACCAAGTATACATTATGCAACTCTCTTTTTAAATTCAGTTGCCTAAACTGAATATTTTCTATTCCATAGAGAAATCAAAGTCCTGGAAGATTTGTACAAAACTAAAATAGCTCCAAACATAAATAAATATGAAGAAATCAAATTTGGGACAACTCTTTAAAGTGTGTTTTCATCCAATGAAACTGAATTACTTCACTTAAAAACAAATCCCAAACAAAACTCAACAAGAAATGTACTGATTACCTTACTCATGTAACTGTAACCCCTCTAAAGAACATCTTTACAATAAAATTAAATTAAAAAACAAAAAACAAAAACAAATCCCAGGCTATCAAGCCCTAAGAGTCATAAAGCTAACTAGTGATAATCTTCTGTCTCGTGAAAATCAACATTCCCAACAGTCTGAACATTCGTTGACCTTTGGAAAATCTAACCTAGAACTGTTTCCAGGATCCCAAATTCCACTGTGAATCCTTCCCTGAAACCTTTCTACCTCAGTGTACTTGAGAATCTGCCTCTTCAGTCCCTGATACTTTTTTCTGTTGGTCATGGAGCCTGAACTCTGGGCCTGTGCACTGTTCCTCAGCTCTTCAGCTCAAAGTTAGGGTTCTACCACTTGAGCCACAGCATCACTTCTGGCTTTTTCTGTTTAGGTGGTGCTGAGGAACCGAACCCAGGGCCTCATGCATGTGAGGCAAGCGCTCTACCACTGAGTCACCTTCCCAGCCTCGCTGATACTTCATTTTTATGAACTAACAGGAACTGAAAGGATGGAGGAACCAAAAGCAGAATCTTGTTCCCATGGTATCTTAATACCTGCATTGTTCCTTTCCAAACAGCACGTTCCACAAGTATTGATCAGCACAAATAAGAGAAGTACCAATTAGTCAACAGTTAGGTTCAACTCTACTCAGCTGAGGCAACCTTACTATTTGCTCTGGTTATATCAATCATCTATTAAGCCTCATATATTGATTTCTGTTTATGCTTGTAACTTAGGTGCAAGACAAGTTATTTTTATTCTTTGAAATTAAAGATTTGTTTCTCCAGCAAAAAAAGAAAGAAAGAAAGAAAATCTAACCTAGAGCCAACAATGCACAGGAAAAACGTTATTTGATAAATGCAATAACTCTTTAACATGTCTCTCTCTAGAAGCCAAGCTTCCAGTCTGAGAAAAAGCATACCAGGCAGTGGTTCCCATGACAGAAATTCTAGAAGCCACAGTGTTTTAAATTGGTCATCATATAATAGAAATCTACAGGATGATAAAGCACATATTCCTTTTATCAGGGCCAGTAATCTGCCATGGAAGTGATGGTGGGTGTATAACAGAGTACAAGAACTAAAAGCAGGGCTACGAAGGTGGCTCAGTGGTAGAGTGCTTGCCTTGCATGCCTGAGGCCCTGGGTTCAATTCCTCAGCACCACATAAGCAAAAAGAAAAAAGCCGGTAGTGGCACTGTGGCTCAAGTGGTAGAGCGCTAGCCTTGAGCTCTAGAGCTGAGGGACAGCGCCCAGGCCCAGAGTTCAGGCCCCACGACCGACCCCCCAAAAAAAAAAAAAAAGAACTAAAAGCAGTCATAGAGTTTATAGGTTCCATTGCCATCTCTTGAGGAACAATCCACTATGGAAAGGTATGATCCACCAGGATTATCTTAAACTGGGTAGCTCACACCTGTAATCCTAACCACTCAGGAGGCTGATATCTGAGGATCATGGTTCAAAGTCAGCCCATATAGAAAAGTCCATGAGAATACAGGTGGACCTGTTGCAACAATGAGAAGTACAAGTTGTCATGTTGAAAACGAACTTTACAACTTGGGGGAAGGGGGGGGAGATTGGAGGGGAAGGAAGGATGGGAAGGGATGGGAAGGGTAAACAAAGGAGGAGGCTACAATGCTTGATAAGAAATGTACTCACTATCTTGTCCATGTAATTGTAACCCCTCTGTACAGTATTTTCACAATAAAAAATAAATAAAAATTAAAAAAAATAATTCATAGAAAACATGAAAAAAAGAAATGTACTCATTATCTTGCCCATGTAATTGTAACCCCTCTGTACAATATTTTCACAATAAAAAATAAATTAAAAAAAAAAGTTCATGAGACTCTCATCTCCAAGAAACTATTCAGAAAAGGCCAAAAGTGATACTGTGGCTCAAGTGATAGAGTACTAACCCTGAGTAAAAGAAGCTCAGGGATAGCACCCAGGCCTTGAGTCCAAGCCCCAGGACTGACACAAAAAAATTAAAATAAAAAAAAAAGTAGTTGCATTCTAACTTGGGACTTGAGCGTCCCTAGGTAAGGGACAAGCATCACCAATTACACCTGATTTCTATCTAGAGGGCAACTTAAAATACTGAAAAAAGGGATCCTCACACCTCATTTCTCTCCTTTTAGTTCAGCACATTATGGAAATTTTGTTATCACTGTGGCAAAGGAGAATGGAAGACAATATTCAAATGATCAAGCATAGCTGTAGAATATTAGTTTGATATATATATATATATATATATAGCCTTGTCTATATTTGGATATAACTTCAGCAGGACTAATTGTGCTAAATCTTTTGAAACAAAAGACAAATATCTTTACCGTAATACTCCCTTTCCCAGCAGGTTTTCCATTTTTAAGTACCAGTGGTCGAGTTATCCTCTTACTGGAAACAATCTATTAAAAGTAAAAAGAGTAATATAAAGTGCTATTTCATCTCAACATGTAAACATTTAAACTGAATAATTTCAAAAGAAAAGGTTAAGAATAAAGTTCATTTAAACTCATTAGATATAGAAACATTAAAGTCCATTCCTTAGAGGTAAAAAGAATTTAATGACATTTAAAATTTATCTCCACATTTAAAACTCTGGAAAAGATTTCCCAAAAGCCTACTCTGTCAGATACAATCTCCCTGACCAGTAGTTTCTTTACTAATTGTTTCAAAGTTTAACTGCTCTCTTGGCATGGGAAACTAGGGTCAGATTTTCATCTTCTACACAGATCACTGAGCTGAAACCCTGAAAGATAAAAGGTAGGCCTCAGAACATTCAATAAATGTGATCCAAAATTTCAACTAACACATAAGTTTAATATCTGTTTCCAGAAAACATCACTTTGCTTAGAATAATATTATACACTGACATACTTTCAAATTGACGTACTTCTCAAATTCATTAGAATTTCAGTTACATAATTTTTATTCAAACAAAACAAGACAAACAAAATACTTCCTTAATTTTCCCTATTCATGTAAGTTTTACAGATCAGGTCCATTTTGTAATGTCTTTGGGAGAGTAAAAACCATGGTGTCCAAGTAATTCAACACTGAAAAATAATCTCAAAAAACACAAATTTGAAGGTTAAATATAACTCATTGAAAATAAAACAGACTCCTCCCTACTAAAGCTTTCCTCAATTTATACAAATGGTCATGACCTCTTCCAATAAATGAGACAGAGCTAGAAGTTAGTAGTGACAGCACACACATACTTGCTCTGACCAAGTTTATCTTACACAGGTAATAAGGCAGTAAGGCTTTTAAAATGAAATATGATGAGAAGCAGTAGAGTGCCAAGATGAGGTTAGTGAATTCCTCCATGCTAGTCTAGAGGGTCAGAGAAGGTTCAAGGGGGAAGTGAAGTTTAAGGCAACACCTCTTAGGTGGAAGAAGAGCAGATCAGGTAAACTGGTGGTGCTTGGGCATCAGTCTAGAGGTATCATCATACTCTGAGAACATCAATCAGAGAAATTAACAATATATCAACAGGATTACAACTTGACCATAAAAATAAACTATACTGAGCTCAGCAAAGCTGGAATCTTGTTTTTTGTTTTTCTCTATGTGTGCCAGTATCCAGTCTTGAACTCAGGGCCAGGGAGCTGTCCCTTGAATTTTTTTGTTCAAAGCTGGTACAGACCACACTTCTTACTTTTTTGCTAGTTAGCTGAAGGTAAGAATCTCACTCATGGACTTTCCTGCTTGGGCTGACTTTAAACTATAATCCTCAGATCTCAGCCTTATGATTCGCTAGTATTATAGGTGTGAGTCATCAGGGGTTTGATTTCTTGAAATGTCTAATAAATCATCCCTAACTCAAAAAAAAAAAAAAAGAATGAGTTCTGCTAGAAGCATATGGTCCTTAACCCCCCCACACACACACACACCACACACCATCATAAATTCAACAACCTTGAAGGCAATCATACTACTATATAAACTCAGTTTCTAAAGTGATTATTTTCCAAGTTTAAAAATGAAACTACTGAATATTGGTCAAAACATCGAAATTTTGGTTAAAGATTCAGCTAAGAGAGAATGTAAGAGCTACTGGTACTCACTTGTCCAAGGGTACATTCACATTCTCCTAGGAAGTCATCATCACTCAACTCAATGGTTTTGTTGTCGATGTCATAAATTCCAAATTTCAATTTCTGAACCACTTCAAAGTAGTAATCAATAATAAATGTCTTGGAAAACTTGGGACTCAGACAATTCTTAATTCTCTCTGTACGTTCAACCTATACCCAACACCCCAAATGAAAACAAATAAAAAAATGTTTCTTCAGATCAAAGGTGCACTTGGATTTTAGCATCTTTATGTACTAAATGTACATAAATATACATATATATATATATGAAAAGGGTGTTTCATATGGAGAATTCCAAGAGCCAAGACACATTTTCAAAACAAAAAACTACAGCAACAAGTTAGATGGCATTACATTTCTAACAGTCTAAAAAAGAAACTACTCCTCACATTGTGAAAAGAATAATTCAAATGGCTTTTTGCCTAAAGTATTTAGTATTACCTCATACCACTGATGTCCACTTGTGTTTAAAAATAACACACACAAAGGGTCTGACTTTGAGGCTACATCTTTATCCAAGAGATTGTCACAGGAAACATTCAGCTCCACCTTGGTGACACACTGGGCAGCCATCTCTGCAGCTATAAGGAAACCAATGAGATGAGAAGGCAGGTGACCGAGTGCCTTTAAGAAACTCACTCACTCCTAGTGGAAACAGCTGATTTTCAAGATCAATTGCTAGATAGGCTTGCAGAGTGAACATGCTGGAATGAGACTGTTTCTCTATGAGACTCCTGGGGATTTGCTATTATGGACTCAGCCCTGTGATGTGACTTTATGCACTTGGCTGAGATAAAACTCACCAGATGATAGTAAAAAGTACCTCTTAAGATGGCAATTAAGACACAGTTATCTTTTCAACTCAGTATACACTTTAGCCTTCAGAGAAAGTCCAAGCACAATCTCCATTTCTTTTTCTTTGCTTAAAGCTACACATTGCTACAAAGCACAACAGATTCAATTATTACCTAACTTTTACTTTATTTAACCAAATACATAGGATGTTCCAGTTTTAAAAAAATTTTTTGACTAAGTAAGAGCCAAACCTTGGGCATAAAGACACCCATTATCTCCTTCCCTCGACTCTTACCCCCAGGTCTGCATATTTTACGGCAATGGTTCTCAATCATGGCTCTTACTAGAACATCTTTAAAGATGACAATGCCTGTACCTCACAAAGGCATTTGCTTTAACTGGGTTTGAGTACAACTTGGACATCAGTCACCTAGATTTTCCTAATGAGTAGATATAAGGTAGGTAAGGCTATTGTTCTACAGGGGGCATCCAACCTAGGCCCTCTTCTCTCCTGCTGTGCCAAGGAATGTCAGAGAAAATCTCACTTACCCAGACCCTCCGCCTCCCTCCCCCTTTGCCCCCTCCCCGCAGCAATCTCCAGTCAGGGGGGGAAAAAAAGAGCACTTGAAGGGGCAGTACTGAAGAAGAACCCTGGAACTGAAAGGAACTGAATCCAGTGCTAGCTGTTTAACTACACAAAAGTAACTTCATATCCCTGAATCTAGAGTTCCTCATTAGTTAAAAAAAAGGGAGATACTGTCATAACCCTAAATCTGTCATGCACCAGGAATTTTGTCTTACATTTCTTATACAGAATCTATGGAATAAATTGTACAATTTCTCCCACCTTGGTACAAAATGGTTTAGTCTTGTAAAGGATTGTTGGCGATACCCGGGGTAGATAATCATAGAAGGAAAAAAAGATCCCTAAAATCCCTGCAACATGTAGAGAAGACTCCATCAGCAATCAGAAAAGTCTTTCTAAGGATAGGGAGAACACAACAGAGAATGGAGATATTTATGTACTAAGTCTCTACCAAAGAGGTAGAATATTATCAACTGAATGCATTTTTCCCTCTTAAAAACGTTTATATAAAAGCTACAAAACATGTCAGGCATAACTGATTATTCAGCAAACTGCTGACAATCACATTAGTTCTCTGTGGACAGAATGCAAATTGCTCCTATTGTTAGCAGGTCCCCCTCTCCTGAAAATGACTGTGACCTCTGCTTCTCTTTTATGTCTAATAATCCATTATGTCTGCCTGGGAAGTGGAAGATATTACATAAATGCTCAGGTCTGGAGCCTTCAATTGCAATATTCATGAAGATGCTCTTTCCACTTGCTTTCTAGCAATTATTCAAACATGATATGCAAATTTTTAAAAGAGTAACAGAGTATCTCACGCACAAATCTGCTTCCAGATAGATTTATTCAATAAGCCTGCCATGAGGATTCTGCTACATCAACTCCAACCCTTTCTTTAAAAGTGGAGCTACAGGCCTTCCCATGTATTGTTACAACCCAATATCAAGTCTTTGGTATATGTCCACTGCCTATTGTGTAGCCTTCCTTCTAGCAGGACTCCACTGCCATCTCTCTACTCCTATCAGGATTTCATCAGTACTGGCTAAAGGTGAAAAATACAGCCAGGCACTGGTGGCTCTTTCTCAGGACACTGAGATCTAAGGATTGCAGTTCAAAGAAGACAGCCTGGACTGACAAATCAGAGACTCATCAACTCCAATTTATCAGCAAAACAAACAAACAAAACTGAAGTGGAAAGTGGTGATGAAATTGAGAGAAACTTCACAAATCCTGACTTGGAAAATGGCTCAACTGGTAGAGTGACTGCTGTGAGGAAAAAAAAAAAACTTGCAAGAGCTTGAGGCTAAGTTCAAGCCTTAATACTGAATAAAAAAAAAAAGAAAGAAAGAAAGAAAGAAGATGATGGCTGACCAGAGCTTACTGTATCTTATGAGCTAAACCTGGAATTCCTGACTTAGAGCATATTTGTCCCCAGCTCCTCTGCCTCTCTAAATTCTTTCAGCTCTACACCAGCTAGGTACAGTGGTGCATGCACATAATCCTGACATTTGGGAGACTGAATCAAAACTGAGTTTGAAATGACCCTGTCACAAAACAAAACATAACAACCCACTTCAAAGGATACTTTCATAAAATTCATGCTTATAACCAACCTGCTATAATGGCCTTCATCTTTTATTCCTTCCACTGATAAATGCACCCACCTATGTCTTCCTAAAGTAGACATCTGTCACCATTGGCAAATTACTTATCTGTACCTCAGCTTCCTCATCGATGGAATGAAAAGTACATTACAGGTGCAGATTTGTAACAATATCTCTTAGATGTGCCATAAATTTCACCAGTAATTTTAGCACTTCCTGAAATATTTTAATAGATTGTCTCTGCATAGATGGCTTACTTTAAAATAGTGGACATAAAGCACCTCTTTCACCCTTGCTTAAGAATAACTTTGGAATAATAATAAATGAATCATTAACTATAGAAATTTTCCACAATCCTTTCAGAAGGGTTTGTCTGAGTTACCTAAGCAATGTTAGTGACCTATTTATCCTAAAACAACTGAGAGGGAGAGTCAGTGACCGCCTACAAATGCTTTCCATAAACTTCAGTCACCCTGCAGCTACAAAGAAGGCAACTGGTGATAAGAGAAAATTCTGAGATTTCCTAAATTTAGATACAAAGATTAAGATGGAGGGGCAAGCAGATGAGAATAGATTCAGTTAACAACCCAGGGCCAAAATCACAGTAAGACTGTTCCACCCTACCTTGAAATCCTGGTCTGAAACCCTCAAGAAACACCTAGAAAATGACTTTGCCTTCAGATCAGATCTCCAATCAATAAGTCACTCATACTTCTAAGACTATTACACGAACTTTGCCCACTTCTCTTTGCCTACAGCCATCTTATCTACTGCTACTGCAGGCTCAATGTAAGCAATTCATGCTCTCTTTTCCCCAAATTTTCATTACAAAATATGCTATCTTTTTAGATCCAGTGGATGTTTTTCAATTGCTACCTAGCCTTGCTACATGTGACTAGAGAAAAATTGTCTCAGATCTAATCCCTTATTTCATTCCCCTCCTGCATTTCTCTCTCTCTCTCTCTCTCTCTCTCTCTCTCTCCCTTCTTGCAATTTGGCACAAATCTGCAGTTCCAATGTTAGAAAAACTAGCTTGAAGTTGAGAGATCATGAATTTGAAACAGGCTTAAGCTATGATAGTTTAAAAAAATTATTCAACAATAGCCTGAGATAACATTAGCTATTTCTTTTAGTTCTAATACTGTGATTCACTTAAGTGTCATCCTATAATGCACCCTGTGTGCACATCTGAAAGCAAGTAGGGATAATTATGGGACAGCTGGAATGAGGACCAGCAGCATCAGCAGTAAATATCCCACACTGTTACTCAAACTGAATTGCTCATGACTGTAAAAAGTGTCTCTGTAAAAAGTGTCTCCTCCAATAAAGCAGCAGGGAGCAGTAAGACTGTACCTCCAAAAGTTGCTACATAATGTGGATGTCCAGAAGTAAAGGCATATATTAAAAGACTACTGCATATGCTCTAGCTTAGCTCTTTTTCAGACAGCTAGCATTCTACCACTTGAGCCACAGTTCTACTCTCAGTTTTATTAATTGGTTAAATAAGAATCTCATAAAGTTTCCTGTTGGTATATCAAATGGAGATCCTCAGATTTTAAGCTCCTGTTTAACTAGGATTACAGGCATGCACCATCAGTGTCCCAAAACAATTTATTGAATACATTCTACGTGTCCTAAAAATGGAAGGGGAAAAGCAACAACTGTTACAATAGATAAGAGGGCTATGGTCAAGGAGAAGAGCCCATAGCTCTGGAAGGAGGATCATTTATAAAATAAAACGGATATCTAGTTTTTAAATGCAAAATTAAAATTATGCACTTCAGACAGAAAGCAATCCAGTGCCTGCAACTATATTCTATTTTAAAAGAATGGGCACTATGTTGTCACTGATCATTGGCTTTTTTTTAAGCCCATTAACTTAACAGGAGAGAAGTAAGATAAAAGGGGGAAAAGACAGCTAAAAATTCCATACATCTGGATAGTTTTCCCTTTTTCTAGTTTAGAAAGTGCTTCCAAATAACATTTTACCTCTGACCCTTATGAAAATCATAATGATTACTCTTCATGTTGTTGCAGTGACTAAAATGTTAAACATTCAACTATCTGAACTGACTACCTTAGAACACGATGATAATTTTCAAAAGACTGATAATTATCAAGACACTGCAAAGTGCCTGTTAGGTAAAAGATGAGTTTCTCCAAGTCAAATTACTCAGCCTAATTCACCACCACTAATAAATGGTAGAACCAAAGCTAGGACACAGATTTCTTTTTCCCACCATCCCAAAATGCTTTCAAGACATTAAATTAGTATTTGCTTAGTATAATTACAATATTTTTATTTGATTCATTTATTGCTTATTAGTTAATACAACAAATGCCATCTCTATCCTTACACAAATTAATAATAAGGTTTTTAAATGTTCAAGGATATTATTTAGGCTGTATGTCTTTCTTAAACAACAGCAACTTGCCACAGGAGGGGAAGAACTGGACAGTTTATATTTGTATCACAGCAGTTCTTTTTGTGGATAGACCATTAGCCTATAAATGACTTAAGGTTAGGAAGTATGTTCTGCTTCTAGGACACCTCCATACACAGGTAAGCTGGACCATTTTAGACCACCAATAT